GAGAGTGACCCAAGTGTGCAACAACAGATAAATGGATAAAGAAAATACGGTATATACATACAATCGAATAGTATTCAGCCTTAAAAAGAAAGGAAGGCTGGGTGCAGCGGCTCATGCCTGTAATCCCAGCACTTTGGGAGGCCGAGGTGGGCAGATCACCTGAGATCTGGAGTTTGAGACCAGCCCGACCAACAAGGAGAAACTCTGTCTCTAGTAACAATACAAAATTAGCCAGGTGTGATGGTGCATGCCTGTAATCCCAGCTACTCAGGAGGCTGAGACAGGAGAATCGCTTGAACCTGGGAGGTGGAGGTTGCAGTGAGGTGACATCATGCCACTGGACAGAGCAAGACTCAGTCTCAAAAAAAAAAAAAAAAACACTTTTATGTCTGTCCTGAAAGAAATCCTTATCTCCTGTAGCTGCAGGGCTGAGATTTCTGGAAACCAAACCCAACGTGACTGAATGGCAGTGCACTTGCAGACTGGCCTTGTGTTAAAGTAAGATAACTGAATGTAGAGAAATGAGATCCTAAAAACTAGAATGGGGACGTATGGGAACATCCCAGTGAAGCTGGAGGTATCAAATCCCTAAATTCTGCTGTGTCTTGTTTGCCGATAGAAGTAGCCTTTCCACCCGGTCTGAGTAGGTTAACCCTGATTTTTCTGTAGAACCCTGTAATGGCCTCGCCTAAGGTCCTGTAGCAAGACCCCACCAGTTCTCTACCACTCCTTTTTGTTTCTAGACCAATAACTACACTCAAGTTCCAGCAGGTCCCAAAGAGTGAGGAACAAAGTGACCCAAACAACAAAAGGTACACTACACACTGAAAGAATTGCATTCTTTTCCTAACATATACAGATGTAAATGTGAGGAATGTGCATAGACATAGATAGAGGGTTGAGATAATGATGGAAGGAACGCAGCGTTGTATGGGGCGGAATTTATTGGTATGAGCCCACAGAGCAGAGTTTCTGGATCAGTGTTTTGTTTGAGGGGTTAGAAAGGCTCCGTTTTGTTGGCTAGCTAAAACATGGGTCCAAAGATAACCTACAGTAAATGAAGTTGAAATGCCGGAACTGTCTTCTTATACTGTGGAGGAACGGACCCAAAGGCTTAAGGAGTCTGAAATATTAGTGTGCATTATCATGTAAGACCTGCTCACCCACCCTGGAAGGGTCCAGAAGATACAGCTTTTATCATGACTATAAGAAATACATTTGTGAGAAGGGCTCCAGAATCCTTGAGAGCTCTGTAGTCGTTCTTTTCTGTAGGTCAGAAATGACTATGGGAACTGCTACCATCAAACTGGGATCTCAAAATGCAATGGAGATAGTTGGATCCCAGGATGGTGAGGTCTAAGTGGCCATACTTCTTGTCAAAGGCGAGGTGGATATGGTTGCCGTTAGGAACAGTGGTGTCAAAACATTGACCAGAATATCAGACTCTCAGGGACCTTTGACACTGGCTAGTTGATCATGATATCCCTAGAAAATAAATAGATAAGCAATCTACTAAATTCCTACTTGATCTGTGCAAGTAGAGGAGTTCTGTGTTGTATGATTAGAAGTCTAACTTGAATTACCAAAATAGAGAGTAACACTCCCTCAATTATTTCCCAGACATGAGCTGGTTTACATAGCCCAAAACCATTGAATGATGGAGGTTGGATCTCCTTGAGGAAGAGCCCTACTACGCTGTCAAAAATGTACACTGTTAATCTTTCTCTCAGCCTTCCCCAGGGACCTGTGCACTGAGGAAAGTCACCCTGGTAAGTGGCCAATGGAAGCCACTTGTAGGAGATTGAAGGGTGTCAGGAGCAGGCGTTCAGGGTGTTATCACCCCAATATCTCCCTGTGCGGTGGTTCCAGGGTGTTCCTGTTCCTCCACCAAAGGTTACAACCTGTCAGAAGCTCTGAGCTCTCCAGATTTGCGTGCCTGCCCCTCCCCTGATGGTATCAGCTCCCACTCCCGCTCACTCCAGGGTGCCCCAACATTCTTCATCGGTTTCCCTTAACCCTGATCACAGCTTTATAAATAACCCCACTTCATGACACTGTCAATTACCCATTGTTTTTCCTGCTCATGCAAGTGGAAAATCACGTCCGGGGAGCTCCCACAATTCTTATCAGTTTCTTTGCAGATATAATACTTTCCATATTCCCACCTCCCATAAAAGCTAGTTAGTATGGTTGTGTTCACACCCTAGACTGTGATCTTCCTCAGGGCAGAATGCACACCTGGGTCACTTCTTAGTTTCCTCATCGTATTTTGATATTGTCAACATGTGAGGTGGTCTATTCATATCTGTTCAGTGAACAACTGAATACATGAATCAACGCTTTATTAAATGATAAGTCCATCGTCCGTCAGGTTCGCTGGTGCCGGCCATCGGTGCCATTTTGCCACAAGTGTCCTGTAGTAAAGCAGTTTTTCTCGGTCCATTCGAGATCGGGACGGGAAGCAGACGCTTTAGTAGAATGCATCTCCCAGGCAGAAGTGGACTTGCTTCCCTGTGGTGAGCACATGGAGAACGTCCTCGCATCGTGGTTTCAAGTGCTGGCTTGACGGCCCCGCGACCTGGCTTAGACACAGGAACTGCACTTCAACTGTGTCTGTTTTTTTGCATATTTTGTGAAATTCTTTTCTTCAGAATTTTGCCACCATGCCTTTCCATTCATTATAAAAATATTGTATGTCGTCTTTGCCAGAGGAGATCTGAAACAAAGCAAAGAAACCATACTGCTCAGCTCAGCGTGCGGGAGCTCCTGCCGCCTACTGGCTGGGAAGGGTGGAGGCCAGCGTTTCCGAGGCTGAGGACTCTGCTGCCCATCAGTAAGGGTTGTCATCTGTGAAATTCTTTTTGCCTCTGGGCAGCACAGAGCCTCTGGGAAACTCTCTTCCCCACAGTTTCTCTTAAGTAACTCAGGCCACCCACAGCTTTGACTGGTCCCCATGGGAAGGGGTCACAGTTCTGACCACTCTGCTGATATCTCAAGGGGCATGGAGGGAAAATGGTAGGTCCAATGATGCAGCCTTAGTAGGAATAGGATGCTGGAGGTAGGGGTGGGGGGAGGTGGCTTGAATGGGTCACCAGTCCCAGGAGCCTTGGCATGAAGGAAAAGCAATGGCACTCTTGTGGGGAAATTTAAACACTGCTACTTCTGGAGTCAGAGGGTGGGTAGGGGTGGGGATGGACAGTCCCCCTCATCACACGCCTCTAGCCCATTGCTCTAGGGGCAAGCTGAGCACTCAGTGCAGTGCCGGGCAGGACCAGAGGGGCTGTGGGGAGCTGCCCTTCCTTCTGTGGTCAGGAATACATGACCCTGGGGATGTGGCAAGAAGCAGTAATTTCAAAATGCAGTTCTGCATACACATCGTCATGCAAAGCATTTGCTCTCTGGTGCCTGCTCATGGTGAATGCCTCTGTGCCTGAGCCCCCTCATCTAGAGGCCTAACCAAAATACTTAACTGGCGTAGACAGGCACTGACCAGTCAAAATGACTGCCACTGAAGCAGAGCCCTGGAGGGCCACGGTTGTGCCAGGCACTAACCTGTCATTTGCAGGATCCCAGAGAAGATCAGGAAGTGAGTGGGCAGCTTGAGGAAATCTTTCAGTATTCTAGCAAGTAGGGCGGCTGTGCCAAGGTGGATGAGCTGAATATCAGCCCTGCTCTCACTCGCCTTCATGGCTTCAGCCCTCCAGGCCCTTTAGATTTGTGTTTTTCCTTTTCTTTCTAAATCTATATTCCTATTTACCAACCTTTCAGCCGGAGTCCTCAATATGGGGACAAGACTGACCTAATAGGAGTGGCCTTGAGAGGCAGCCCTGGCCCGCCCAGGGATCCCCAAACCCAGCTGTGCATCAGAGTCACCTAGGCTGCGCTTAAAACCCATGGCCAGGTCCTGTGTGCTTTACAGAGCAGGCCAGGGGATGCTGAAGCACAACCAGGCTTGCAGTTCCTGCCCTCCTCCTAAATCCGGATCAGCAGGAAGCCCTGGGGGCAGCGTGAGTTCAAACACCGGCGGGTTCTTAGAATGAAGGCCAAGGCAGCACCACTCACGATGGCTGTTTCCTCCTGATGTATGAGGCCAACCCGAGCAGCAACAGCACGGCAGCTGCGAGGACAGCCACCCCTGAGACTGCGGCGATGATGGTGTTCTTCTGCAGGAAGTGCAGGAGCTGCCTGCAGGGCATCGTCCTAAAGTGAGCATCTAAACAAGAAGACACAGTACAAAGTGAACAGAGATCCCTGCTGGGCTACCCACAACCAGGACTAAACCTGCCAGAGACACCTGTTCGTTCCGTTCACAACAGAATAAAAACTTTGGCATCTTAGCCACTGCTTCCAGAAGTCCTCTCGAGAAGGAACTGGTTGTTTGGGGAAATGCGTTTCTCTGCTATCTGGTGATAAGATGAGACGTTTTGCGGTGTGGCGATGAGACGCTGAGGGTCTGGGCTGGCACACAGCAAAGCAACCAGGAAGCAAGCTCCACAGAGCAGTATGTAGGTAAAGAGAAGAGCGGAGGACAGCTCAGATGGGGTGAGGGGAGGCAGGGGCACTGGAGAAGGCTGAGAAATCCTGCTGCAAAGGCTTTTCAGAAAAACGGAGGCCAACATTCAGTCTGCAGCTTTTCACAGGGCAGGGATGGAACCGCATCTCTGCTGCCCCTCCTCTGCCCCTGGCTTCAGGAAATTCTCCTATGTACACAACTTGCCTCATGTGTGTAGGTTTGGGGTATTTCACATCGGCACCAGTACGAGGCAAACATAACACCAGAGATGATCCCCAGTTCCAGAGCCCCTATGAGGACTCACAGAGACTGTGAGAGTGGATGAGAATACCGCTGAGCACCGGCTCAGGAAAACTAGGCAGTCTTAGCCAGATCTCAAAGGATGGAGACCCAGTGGACATCAGGGTCTCCCAGAGCGTCTGTCACCCCATTTATAACGTGACCAAAAAAGAAAAAGACTTCAGGGAGGTGGGACATGGAGGTACGATTCCCGGTAGCAGCTGGCTTCGTGTGGAGAGCTGTCCAGGGCAGCCAGTGATGTAGACGGGAGAGTCAAGCCAGGACCTTCTTGGGTGATGGGGAGAAAACAGGGCTTGTGCAGCCTCCCACCTTCAGCTATGCTATGCCAAGAGGCGGCTCATCCAGCAGCCCTGAAGTCTTGTTGGAATAATTCCGCATTTATTGTTTCTAAGCGTTAGGAAGTGACAGCCGGGTATAATTTTGACAGGGAGGGGTTGTGTGGAGGGCTGCACTGTTCTTGGTGCCAGCATGGGTGAGTTTCTGCCACTCTGAACAGGTCTGGG